GGATAAATTGAGTGGGCTTTCTATTCCTCTCATCTGAAAATTGAATTTTGTGAGCAAGTTGTAGATAAAGAGCAATCACCAGACACCACTCAAGGTTAAGTAAAATGAACTGATATTCAAATCTGATCATAATTTATCCTCATTGTAGATGACGAAGGAAGAATATACGAGTTGTTATTCAACCAAGACAATAAGGTAAGTTTTATGACATTGAAACTCTATGAAAGTACAGGTTACCAATCAATCCCTATTTATTGCTAATTCAGACCTCCTCAGGACAAAAGTATTCTTGGATGTTCATTTCTGAATTGGACAAAATGAACGACCGTCGACTCCTGAAGATAACTGATCTCCCGTGATTCATTTTATCTCCTCCGATAAACAGTTTTCACTGTCTCTTTCCTCTTGTAAACTAACTGAGGTTAATATAATGACTGTGTCAGGTTAAAAATATCTTTCTACATAGTGAATAAATTTATTTATTCATTTTTTTCAAATGCCAGGCGTTTTGACAGTTATCACCAGCCTTTTAGTTGACTTCGGGCTTCACAGGGAGGATGGAAGGGGGACAGAATAATGGTTAACAGATGTAAAAGAGACGGACAAAAGGGCAGAGAAAAGGTAAGATGAGTACTATGGAAGGGATCGAATACGACATGCAGTGTTGTGAATAAATTAAACAATAATAATTGAAAATTAAAACCATACTTCCACTCTTACCGATGTAAAGTTTTGTTTTGTGATGGAGAAATTATAAAGGAAGAAAAAATATGCAAAATGGACAATCAATTATTTATTTATTAATTAAATTGAAAAAAATAAATGAGATTTGAAACCGGAGTGTGCAGAGAAGGAAACGCGTGTTCACTCGAAAATTAATTTGTATAGAGATACCACATCACTTCGCGAATAATGTTGTTCCATGCAATACGCCTGTTTTCTCTATAGTTTCACAATAACTTAGCTAGGTCTGGTGGGTTATCCAAACTTGGTGGATTCTGTCATAGGCATTTATCGGTATAGTCAAGGCTACACATTTTTGAGGAAAAATGAATCTCAGGGTGCATGGAGGAAGAAATATTCAAAATAAAATATCAATAATTTCTAACTTTTAAGTTTCTAATTTTAAGCAGAGTGCGAAGAGGAGCAACTAAATGCGCACTGGAACAATTTGGATGGCGTGATATCAGAAGCTGTTGCCTACGAGGAAATTCGGGCAGAAATGATCGATTGTGCCTAGATAATTCTTTTGCCTGAAGCACCTTTCACCAAAAACTATTTGCTAGTCAGACAGGAATTCACCTGGAAAAAGAAATTCTTTGCTAAAGCTTCAGCTCAACTTATTGACGTGTCAATGTCTCTTGGTCGCAAATCCTCCATACTTGAAATACCCATGTCTAGAAATCTCTTGGAAACACCTGTAACATTACCGTCTGGTGAAGTGGTGAGAAGATATACGGTTTCTACAGGCACACAGGTCGGTACTCTAGGCACACAGGTCGGTACTCTTTTGATACCAATCAAGGTGTATATGACACAAGTTGATGTGGAAAATTTGGCTGTGGAAATTCCCTTGACAGAGTGGAAGTCAACCGATTTAAATGTCAGTGCAATACTTGCATCGATGGGTACGAAAATGACGACTATTCTCTCAGACAGTTCTGGAATTCAGGTTGTTGATATGAAGGACCTGGAGGAAGTGGGAATTCAGTGTGGTGATGAAGTCTATGTTGCTGGTGTTACAGCTTCTAAACCAAAATATATTGGCGATAGCTATGGTCATGTAAGAGATGATAGTGTCACAAGTTCAACTTCTAATAAGAGACGAGAAGTAATCTTTATATCGCTGCCGAAAAAGCTGGAATGCGTACAACCGAACCAGAAGGTCATAATCCTTCTGAATCAAAGTGGCGATCTAAGAGAAATTCACTCAACTTTGTCGTCCTCGGTTTCTCAACCTCGGTTACGAATGGGAAGTGTATTGGGAACTCCTATTCGTTTCGATGGGCCATTAATTTCCCAACAGCAATGACTGCTATAATCAATCAATCTCCTACAATCATCTGTGAGTGTGGTCGTCAATACACGGTCGGTGAACTAGAACGAAAACTAATTTTAACAGAATCTGATGCATCAGGAGCGTTAGGTCGCGTAAATTCTCAATTCTCAACAAATAACCCCTTACAAAATATAACCACAACCTTCAATACGTTCAGTTCTCAAGACTTGGCTGCTGCATCCAGAATTACCTCTGCCTACACTGGTGAGGGTGGAAGACAGTTCGCATTCACAGAAATCAGTAACCCATCTGCTATCTCTTCTCAATATTCACCATCTGCAAGGGCCTTTGAGCAGTCTGGTATTCGATGCAATTGTGGACTTCATCTTGCAGCAGTGTGTGCAGGTATTCCTCCGGTGAAAATTTCTTGCATTTCTTGTGCTAGGAAAAATTTCGAGATTGTTAGAGAACTGGGAAAAAATCAATATTCACTTGTGATTGTGGACGACAGTATGGTGGTATCAGCATGCTTCCCATCAAAGTTACATGTCCCTCATGTAGACCTGTCGTTCCAGTTGTAGTAGACGCGATTTTCATTTAAAGTCGAGTTTACGAATCATGCCACATCATTTGCGAGGCTGCTATCAAATCAACTATGGTCCCCAAGCGTCTGACTGCAAACATTCAACCTGATGAAATGGGGCTGGTTGTCAGGTGAGTACGTACGAAGTAGACTATTCAATGGACACCAGACTTTCAAGAAATCAACTCTCCCAACTCACAACCGACGATATGACCTCAGACTTGATGGACACTCCTAATCTGCTCAGAAGATCCCCATTAAAGAAATGTACCCACTCTGAAGACTCTCATGGAAGACCCAGAACTACAAATATTTGTAGTTCCTATCGGAGTAGGAAGATGATAACGGATATTAGTACGGCAGACCCTGATGATCCGAGTAGTTATGAAGCATCAATAAGAATCAGAAGGGTATCGAATGCCGACACATTCGATAACTCAGTGGCATCAAATTTATCGAAAGGATCAACACTTCGCGAAGTTTCTTCACTCGGGGTTCAGAGAAAAGGTCAAGTGGATCATTTGAATCTCTAAGAAGCCATTCACTGGCCACCAGATGTGCAATTTGTCGTAATGAAATAACATCGGATGATCTCTTCTCATCGATTCGTACAAGCACCTCAAGTCTGCTGGGAGGGAGAGGAGTAGCAGCAGTGAGAGGTAGTGGAATCCACGAAATCGCTGATGCCTACGCACGAATTTGCAAAGAAGCTGATCAGTCTGATGGAGTAAAAGCTAATTTGTACTTAATGTTGAGGGGTAATAAAATCATCCAGGCTATCATCGATGACTCTTTGAAGGAGAGGAAAATTGAAGAAGTTGGTTATTTTGCAGAAAGCAAGGAGATTTTAGAGGTTGTATCTGCAAATGAGAAAGCTCTGAAGAAGGCGAGAAATGGTGATTAGACTATTTATTCTCAACTTCACCATAATTCCCTAACACGGAGAGTTATTGACAGTTATGAGTGTTATAAGCATAGCACGAGAGTGGATGAATTCATTTGGGTGACTTTCACTCCGTTTGAAGAAGAAGTGGAGCCAGTCAGTGATGCGATGAGGGAGATAATGGACGCCCTTAAAGATGCAGAAGGACAAGTAGGAGAAAAAACTATCTATGCAGAGCTAAAAGGAAATGCAATAATACAGAGGGTGATAAAGGAATACGAAATGAGCAGACTTGCCCATAAAGCAATTCGTAGACCATCCGCCTCATCACGTTTGGCGAATGTTGTCTCCTCGAGGGACTCAAAGGTTGGAATTCTCAGCGTCTATGGACAATTAGCCAAAATGCAGTTTGAAAAATTTTGCACTTCAGACCAAGTGGAGAGGGGGGGGGGTTA